AGAATAATAATGAGGACACGATGTCATGAGAATGAACACTTTCAGATAGTGGCTTTAGCTGGCAGTGGCTACATAACACAGGTTATAGTTAAAACATAAAAAAATGAAAAAATTACCAGAACTTAGAATATCAAAATGAGATTGGTGACCGTCATTTCCGTGCTCTTTGAATGGTTAAAATAAAAACAATGCTTTTAAAAGAAGTTAGAAGAATTTGAAATCCTAGGTATATTAGAATTATCCAGGCAAGGACATTACTGATATCCGTTAGATTACTGAATGTCTGAGTGCAGAGAAGAAGTAATATGGAAGCTAGTAGATATTATTGGTATGAAAATCCAATGTGTACAATATGAATGTCGGCAGCTGTAAAATCAACAATAATTCTGACTACGTCAACTATAATAATGGCGTCATAATGAGAACGTTGATCATAACAAGAACATTAAAGGCAAAATTAATAAATATTTATGCTTGACAATAAAAGCAAAAGCTATAAACTAGATACTACACTTAAGAAAAGAAAAGAATAAAACACGACGTGTCTTTCAGATGTAGACTGAACATCCCAGCCGAGCGTAAACAGTAGAAAGCGAATGTTAGGAATTTGGAAAGAAAGTTTTGTCGAATTGCAGTCGCTGTCTTCTAGATATTATGTAAAAATTACATAATTGTGGCACAAGGCCGAAAAGGGGGAGGGATTAAGGCTGGTCCATATTAACTATCTTATATCTAGCTAATCCGATTCAGGACACATTTACTCATTACAATTTACCCATTCACCATAAGAATTCGTCCATCATCAATCAATTCCTCATGCACGATAATACCACATCCTCTCTAGGGGCACCTACAAAACGCACCCCATGCCATGAAAATTTAATGATAGTGAAATATATATAAAATAAACTGTAAGATCAACGAAGACTGAAATAGAAGAGATAAAAACAAACTGAGAAAATAAATACATAAGTGAATATAAAAAATAGTTTGTTGTGCTCTGGATAATGTAGCAAAGATATATTCAAAACAACGAAAAAAACATGAAATGTAAAATAGAAATTGCCGTGTACACGTCGTCCTGACGTACAAGTTAGCTTCTGGGTTTGAAACTCAAAATGACGAGTTAGGCCTTCACCTACCACATAGGTCGACTCCCAAACATACGGTAGGCTACCAGTAGCCAAAAACTTAGCCCTACCGCTAACGGAATTTAGGCTGCAGTATACGATAACCGGTCTCAAATCTGCATTAAGTCGCACCATTTACTTTATATTGAAACACAAACCGTTATATTTTTTTTCTATATTCTTTATATAGCAAGCAACCTACAACACACATTGGGAAATAATGTATATTGTATCGGTATAACTTTTATCATTTTCATTTCGTCAGTAAAAAAAATGAATCAATGTTATAATTTTATATTAATTTCAATGTTAATATGCCAAATATGTTCACCAAACACAAGATTTAGTGGCATATATCTGTGACAGCATTTTGGGATAGAGCAAGTGCTGTACAGTAATTTTTAGGAGTGCTTTCCCACTTTTTTTTTTTAGCAATTCACCCCAAGCAATGCGGGAGTGTAACTAGCACGCAAGGGCTTACAGAGAATGAGGGCAAGAAGAGGAGTGTTTGATTAAAGGCTATAGAGAAGGACGGGGATAAAGATCATGACATCAGAAAACGTGGATTGACATTACATTTGAATATTTGAAGTTTAGAGGCATCAGAGAATGAAGCAAGAGAAGTCGAGAAGTGCCAGCAAAGAAGTTATTGGAGTAGAAGAGGCGTTTAAATTTAACTGTATCGACAGGGAAAGGGTACAGTGTGAACATCGTTGTAAAAATAAATTTTAAATTTGTTAACTCAGTCTTGTAAGAGAATATATATTTTCTACTCTACAATCTCAAATCTGCAATCCTTTTGCTACACTATCGTCATTCCCATATCCAAAGAAGCTACATCCTTGAGTTCGACCACTTTAGACATTTCTTGCCAGGACGCATCATTCTGCATCTGCTGAGATGAATTATTCCTTTCCACCGTGTTCCAAATTTAAAAAAAAAGAAGTTCTACTCAGTGTTTGTCTCCTCAGAGAAATGTCACGTTCTAAAACAGTATTCCGCATCGTTGCAGACATGAGCATTTCTACCTGACATCTGATCAATCAATATCTGTCCTCTTTAAACTCATAATTTCTAGTTTCTACAAACTCTTCTTTCATTTATATCAATCAATTCATTCGTAATTATCACTTCGTCTGGAAAATTGAGTGTCTCTCGAGTATTTTTACAGCGGGTGAAATTTAGTAAAGGCTTCTGGTTTCACCAAAAACTGCGATAAATATGCCGTTTTCGAGAAAAAAAATGTTACTCTATTTCATGCGATAATTACTGTAGTTCCTCGATTATCCGGAGATTTTTGGACTGGGGTTTAATAAATATGTTTAAAGTTCCAGATAACTGAATAGATAAGTTATCGAAAAAGAATAAAA